TAAGCAATCACTGGTCGCCAGAATGGGAAGGGATGTCATGCTGTTTGAGAATGCCTTCGAGTCTTTCGTTATCACACCTCAACCTCTGGTTCTCTTCAGAAAGTTTGTGTAACTCGTGTTGAAAATCATGTGTTCTTTTGGCCAAATGGTGGTCCACTTGCGGGTCATTCGAGTGAATGTCTGTTTGCACTTCACTATCACTTGAAGTCCTCAAAGTCGGGGACACCGTCTGTGCGATCGACTCTTTCAGTCGCTTTTCGAGATCTTCGACACGATCTTCGAGTTGAAGGTATTCGTCGACCAATTGATTCTTCGACATCTGCGACAGTCTCTCGGCGTGGATGTGATCGTACGCCTCGTGGAACTGTTGCTGCAGATAATCCGACTCGTCTTCGGGAGAGCTGTAGAAGTCGTCGTCGTTGTCGTTGTCGTGGTTGTCGTCACCGCAAGTGTTGTCATTGTGTTGGCCGCGTCTGAGGCGCTGGAGTCGGCCGCGGATGGCATCCAAATCGATCTCTTTGTCGCAGTTGTGGTCATTCATGAGGAATTGTGTGGTATTGTAGGGCGCGAGAGGCTGTCCGTGCTCTACGACCTTCATGTGCAGCCGTTTCACCTCCTGTTCCGTCGACTCCGTCCACTGCAACCTCTTGTGTCTCCACTCGAGTCTCTGCCACTTCCTCTTCTTCGACCGTCTGGTGCGCCGTCTCTTCACGTCTTCCTTATGCTCTTTGGGCGTCATTTTGGGCACACTTTTGTCAGTCCTGTCGGTGGTGTCAGTGGTTGTGGCCGTCGAGTGACTGTCACTGCAAGACGTGTTCAAAGTGTGCGCCAAAGGGTGTTGTGGTTGAGGGGCGAGCGCTGATTGGTTGCCACCACTCACCACATCCACCATAGGTGTGGTCTCATGAACCACATCTACTATCACCACATCTGAACTCATTGTACCACTCATTGTCTCACTGGTCATCACCGAAATGTCAATACTAATGCTTTATAATCACAAACACATCCAAACATTGGACACAAACCCAACTCAAGTCTCGCAGTAATCGCTTGAATGACACGTATTTTGACGACTATTTCGCCACTCATTCACTGCTTTAATCAATGAATGCATCGATTCTTGTGTCCAAACATTACACAAGAGGGCGACACCACGAGACCCACACTTACATAACGTCACGTCATTTGGGGTCCCTTTCGCACCGCTTGTGCACCCCTTTTGTCCCTTTCTATACATTCACTCCATTCACACCCTCTGACGCACTCTATGCTCACATCACGTCATTTGTGAGGCACTCATTGCAATGCTTTTCAATGCAATTTATACCACAAATTATGTCAATAAAAGGGCGCTTCATATGCGGGTCAACACCACTACACATATGGCATGCATTTGAAGGGATGAAGAGTTTGTGGACATAATTGATGTGACATTTCATGCATTTATTGTCCAAAAACTGCAAATTCATTGACTCTTTAACTGAGTGTTGAATTGAAAGACATCAGAGTTTGGATCAATTGATTGACAGTGAAGTGAATCCTTGAATTAATTCTCCTCTTAAGACAAGACAAGCGAAGCGATGGTGAGTTCGGGCAGCGGTTCCGCCAAAAAGACTAAGAATGAAGAGCAGAGCGAAGACGTGGAGATGAAGGCAGTGGACGGCGAGGCGTCGACATCATCGACGCCAGTGGTGGTGGACGTGGATGTGCTGACCATCGAAGAGCTGAAAGATCAGGCGCGACAGATAGAGAAGTCGGTGTCCTCTAAAGAGTCGCGTTTTGTGTTACGAGTGCTGCGATCGTTGGCCACCACTCGCAAGAAGTTGAACGCAAAGGTGATGCGGAAGATAATCAATGGCTTTTACACGCATTCAGTGAATCAGAAGGAATCGCTTCTTGTATTCATCGACGAGCCCATGGAGACGGACGCCGGCGGACAGCAGTCTAAGCCTAAGGCCACCAAATCGGCTCTTCTGCCGCTTTTGCCTGAATTAGACATTTATTTCCATCTTCTGGTTCTCCTATACCTCATAGATCTGGAGAGACATGAAAACGTAAGCACTGGTCGTAATTGTCTTTGAATGCCATTGTATTGAGTGTATTGTCTGTGGAATAGGCGGTCAAGTGTTCGGATCAGTTGATGGCGAAGATCGTGCGTCAGAACCGGCGCACTCTGGATGTGTTGGCCGCCAAGTGTTACTTCTATCACATGCGGTGCTATGAACTGACGGATCAGTTGAATCGCGTCAAAGGCTTCTTCCACTCGCGCCTCCGGACGGCTACTCTTCGCAACGACTTCGAGGGTCAGGCAGTGCTCCTGAACTGTCTGTTGCGGACATACCTCCACTACAACCACTACGAACAGGCGTCCAAATTGGTGTCGAAGTCGGTGTTCCCAGAGTTGGCGCCAAACAACGAGTTCTCGCGATTCCTCTACTATTTGGGTCGCATTAAAGCCATTCAATTGGAGTACTCGGAGTCCCGGAAGAACCTCTTGCAGGCCATCCGAAAGGCGCCGCAACACAAGGCTCTGGGCTTTAAGCAAATCGTCCAGAAGTTGGCCATAACTGTGGAGCTCTTGTTGGGCGACATCCCGGACAGGGCTCTGTTCCGTGACCCCACTCTACGTCGATGTCTGGCGCCGTACTTCCAGTTGACACAAGCGGTCAGAACTGGTAATCTTCAGCGATTCAATGAAGTGCTCGAAAACTTTGGCCAAAAGTTTCAATCGGATCACACGTTTACTCTTATCATACGCTTAAGACATAATGTGATCAAAACAGGCGTCCGAATGATTAATCTCTCGTATTCTCGGATCCATTTGAAAGACGTCGCCAACAAACTAATGCTCGACAACTCAGAGGACGCCGAATACATCGCCGCTAAAGCCATCAGAGATGGAGTGATTGAAGCGACACTCGATCACGAGAAGAGTTTCGTTCAGTCCAGAGAGACCACTGATGTCTACTGCACTCCCGAGCCCTTGTCGGCATTCCATCAGCGCATCGCCTTCTGCCTCGACATTCACAACCAGTCCGTCAAAGCCATGAGATTTCCCCCCAAATCCTATAACAAAGACTTGGAGTCCGCGGAGGTATTCAATAGATATATTAATATATGAGACAAAAATGAGCAAAAAA